AAAAAAAAAAAAAAAAAAGAATGCTTCCCAAGGATTAAATGCTATTGATGGGATGCCCCATGATAGGTATTTTCTGAGTTTGTTTCTTGGTCCTAAATCTGATCTCCTGCTCTTCCCTCCCACCTTCATTGGCATCAGCATCTCTGCTGGGGCTGCAGGAATCTGACAGTGTAACCGGCTCCAGATAAGCCACGTAGGGACAGTCAGGTAGACAGAGCCGGAGTGATTGCTCTTGTGTAATCTCATAGAAGAGTCAGTATCTGTTGCCAAATTCTAAAAGAGAAGCTGGTTCTGGCTGATCTTCATAAGCCTTCCCCAGCACCTGTGGCTTTGCAGGCTGAGGAATCCCAGCAGCTTGATAAATGTGGGAGAAAGATGCGTGGGAGATCACCCCTAATCAGAGGAGGTGCTCTAATAGATGGCCTGTCGATAGAGGAAGGTGAGTATTCTTTTAAGAAAGCAAAGGATGTTGGGAGACAACTTGGTTCTGAAACGAACTTCTTCTTAAATAGAAACCCAGAGAAACCTCGCTCAGAAGATGCCATAGCTTCCCCCAGAGCCTTTTCCATTTCACTGTATCACTTTTTTCCCTCTCCCAGGCCCAAAGGTTTGCCAGGGTTTGTTTGCTGTTCTGGCGGAGTTAAACAGTAGTTAAAGAGTTGACTTTTCCAGAAAAATGTATTCTTTTTGAAAGGAGGCTAGGTTTCTCCGAGGGAAGCTGTGGGTCTGGGCCTGGATTTCAGTCTGTGAGCAGCTGCAGGAAGTAACCAGAGATGTCTGCTTCCAGGATCTGGTCTGGCCTGCTGATTCTTCTGGGTGCGCTCAGCCCGGGAGCCTCCTCATGTGGCATCTCCACGCACATTGAAATAGGTGGGTGTCCTTGTCTTGGCAGGTAAGAAGGATGAGGAATCTTTTGAAGATGGTGGGGAACTGATTCATATTCCATCTGTGTGTTGAAAACAGTACCTGACCTTGGGGAGGAGAATGCTCTCAGGGGGTTCCCCAGGGAGGGGGAGGAAGCTAGAGAACTCAGGTCCTCTTTGGGTACAGGGTTGCTGCTTTTCTGGATAGAGAAATAACAAGGGGCTGGATAAATTAGAGGCTGCCACAAAGCCAAAGGATGGATCAAATGGAAGATAAATGGTCAGCATGAGTAGACTGTGGTAAGGGGAGGAATTTTTGTTGATTTACATTTCAAGTGTGTGTGATTACACACACACATACACACACAGAGTGCTTCAAGGGGTGTGCCCCTTGAGTCAAATTTCTTAAAAGATGGTTAGTTTCAGCGAAACAAAAGAAAGAAGCAGAAAAAATCAAACTAAAATCTGAGAAATCTGTCTGCAGAAATGAGGCTACTGGACAAGAGAAGGTAGGGAGCAAAGTGTGGATTGGGCCTGGTGGATGATGGTGGAGGACTGTGGGGCCTGGTAGTAGGTGTGCTGTGGTAACTCAGTTCTGAAGAGGTGTGAACCTCTGAATCTCATGCAGTGTATATGTATATAATATATATGTATATATATATATATATATATACACACACACACACTATTATGTAGACTATGTTATATATACTGTATTACATACAGTATATGTTTTAGTAAATATGTGTGTATATAAAGATGCAAGAGAGTTGTGTTGCCGGCAGTACTAGGTGCCCAGCATTGTGAGAAGATTCAGCAAGCTTAGGCGTGTAGCATTATTTTCATCGATGTGCGCTATCACAGAGGTTTGGTTCTTGCATGAGGTGTAGCTGTAATATTTTTGTGACTCATGGAAATGTGCACCAGTATGTTACACAAATACATACTTCAACAGTGTTCAGGTTCATTTTGGATACATCTGCTATGCTAGGTTTTCTTTCTTTAGGTAAAAACTGTCAGAGACCTTTTGTCCCCTATCACGGGTTATTGGGGGGCAGAACAGGCAGGGTCTCAAGGTGGGAGCGGCATCGGAGAGCAGAGATTCCTAAAATAGGGGGGAAAGGCTAAAAAGGGGGAAGGGGAGCGAGGAAGACACTGGAATTGAAGTTGAGTGCAAGTCTTCCTGTTCTGCTGTCAGCAGAAGTTTATTTTATACATTTTAGGCAGGCAGTTAACATATGAATTGGGCTGAGATCACAGTCTTTTTTCAGAGAGCAGTTTGGGGTCGTATAGACCTTCAGCTAAGATTATAACATTGATCTATTAAAATTAAGCTAAGTCCATAAAATTTAAAGCTAACATTTTTTAGTGATGGTTGGCTAAAAATAAAATTCCTTTAGACCTGAAATGCTGTTCTATGACCTTCATTTTTACTAAGACATCTTAGAGGGTAAAGTCAAGGATTAGGGTGGAGATGTGAAGGACAGAGTAAGGTCGCGGGCTAGGGTGGAGTGATTCTCTTGTAAGTCAATCACAAAGAGATACAGTAAAGTTCCTCAAAAGCTGAATAGAGGATTTAGGTGAAGCTCCTTATTTGAAAACTAAACAATAGAAAACTAAACAATATAAAACTTATGTGAGATAGTAGAGAGATAGGATTTGGGTTCTCTTCCAGGCAGTAAAAGAATTCTGATTATTCTAGTATTGCCTTGTCTTGCAGTATTAATTTTGTTATAGTTGTTTTTATTAATTAGCCAGTTGTAATATTTTTGATTCCAAGAGGACTTTCCCATCCTGAGGCAGCGCTTGCTCACCTGAGCCAGGCAGCACCTTATGAGGCTGAGCAGTTCAGTAGAAAACTGATGGTTGCTTGGAATATTTTGATTATACAGAAAACAGGGGTCATAGCATGAGCTAGCATGGAAATTCTGATTTTTCAGGGCATTTCCCCTCTATCTGGAATATGTCTGATAATAGAGGTTGCTTAGCTTGTGTTAAAAAATAGTATTTTATAATTATACCACATTGAGGAGAAATAAAACAGAACAAGATTACAAATGAGACTTGAACATTTATCAGTGAAAAATAGACCTAGACATGGAGTTCCAGAGAGCAGGGACCAGATGATCACAGACCACTGTGTCCACTTCCTTTTTCTTTTTGTACATTTGAAAAAATGGTGCCTACAGAGTTTTGCAGGTAATGAGTTAGTGGCCTGGTATGGAATTACAAGCTGTTCCAACAGCTTGTCCAATGTTTTTTGCAAAATCTTTATTGCTAAAAGTGAGTTAGGAAACAATGGAAAAGAAAATCTATCTGAGGTTCTAATACCAGCTTGGCACCAAACTCTATGTGAGTCTGAGCAACTCAAGTTCTCTCTCACTTCTTCAATGAGGGAGCTGAGTTTCTAAATGAATCTTATAGTGGCTTCCAAGTCTAAGTTCTTTGAAACTGAAAGTGCTAAAATGATAGAAGTGGGCTAAAAGGGATTATAAATATTGTTCCAAATATAAATGGAAATATTCAAGTTTTAAACAATCATAAGAGAGACAAGTTATAAACTTTTAATAACATGAACTAATTGCTTACTTTTCTTCAGTAGGAACCAAAGGTCCTAATAGATTAATGTATAGTATTAATTCTATATTATTAGTGTGTATCAAATATATTAATAATAT